GTTTCTGCCTCCAACACTGCTCAGTGCTTTTTGTCACAGCCCTGAGCACCCATCTACAAAGCGAATACAACAACACAGTGTGCATTCCTCGGGTGACATGAGCAGCTGGCATTTTCTAACACAGGGGACGGCTGAGCCAGACAGTCCTCAAAGTAACAATGCCTCATCATGATTACATTAAATTTCTGTGTCTTAGGGCCACTTATTAATTCTTCTTCCTTAGGAAAATGAGACAAAATTTGGAGAAAAAGAGAAAAAGTTTGCTGCAGAATCATTTCTAAAAAGAAACATTTTAATTAATTTACATATTCAACAATAGGAAGTAACAAAATGAGTTGTTTTATATCCATATCACTGCGCAGCATGCAAGCTTCAAATGAAGCCATGGAGGTACAGAAATTAGAGTTCAGTGACCATAACATTTTAGAAAAATAGTGAGAGAAAAATGAAGGCTATCATCATGATAACTTCAAGTTCAGGTCCATGGTTGCATAAAATTACATTTCCATTAATGTGCGTTTGTATCGCTCTGGGTGGTGGTGGATTGCCATTTAAAATATGATTCTTGGGGGCTGGAGCAATGATTCTGCATTTAAGAGCATGGGTTGCTCTTCTACAGGAGAAGGGGTTCAATTCTCAACACCCACATGGCAACTCACAACTGTCTGTAACTCCAGTTTCAGGGGATCCAGTTCCAACTTCCAGCCTTTAAAGGCCCAGACATTCATGCAGGCAAAACTCCACATCACAGAGTAAAAAAGAAATCTTAAAAATTAAAAAAAAAACAGTGTGATTCTTATTGTGGTTCAAAATGTTCAGAAGTCATTGATTAAACTATTATATCAAAGCATAAAATTATTCCTGTTTTGTAAACATGATACATTTTTATGAGTCAACCATACAAGTACTTCAAAGAGGTCACAAAAGATTTTCAGTGATGTGACAAAATATTTGTAATAGTAAATAAAAATACCAAATAATATGTGATGTTAGTCAATACTAAAATGCTGGTATAAGTGCAACAATGATATAATGTGCAACATGCATATGTAATCCTGTAACATATGCATATAGAATAAAATATATCCAATATCTACAACACATTTAAGATCATATGTATGGGCTGGGCGGTGCTGGCGCACGCCTTTAATCCCAGCAATTGGAAGGCAGAGGCAGGCGGATCTCTGGGAGTTCAAGGCCAGCCTGGTCTACAAGAGCTAGTTCCAGGACAGGCACCAAAGCTACAGAGAAACCCTGTCTCGAAAAAAAAAAAAAAAAAGATCATATGTATAGCTTTTATTAAAAATGTATGCTCAGATATATGTGAGAAAATACAGAATGGAAATAATATTAGTAGATGTTAGACTTATGTGTGCTTACAGGATTTTTCAGTACAGCTTTCTTTATATTAGGGATTATGTTTGTAATTGTATTTATTGTATACATATTTATGAATATTGTTTAACATTTATCAAATCCTTAAAGGCCACCAGAGAGGTTAAATCAAGGAACTTATATTTTAATTTAGTATCATTACAATCACTCTCCAGGGCACTAACTAAAAAAGATATGACTGCACCTGGAAGGCCCACGCAGGCAGATGATGAATGGAAGGCCCAAGCAGGTTGACCAACTCTGCTACCACCCAGTCTCAGATCCAGCACTTTGAGTAGGTTCAACTCAATATTGACTCCATCCATGAGCTACTGGAGGACACAAAGGATCTTGTCCTGCAGAAGCAGCTGTCATTGCGAATAGGGCCAGCCCCAAAATGAAGCTGCTGTGGCGGTAGCCCACCCGGCTTGCCCTGCTGGGAAACTGAGAGCATGGGCAGTGATACTGACTGCAGGCTACAAGCACAGAGGCAGAGATGTGTGGCAGCCTGGAGCTCTCATGGAACCTGCCCCAATTCCTTACCTAGCTCTGGACAAGAGCAGGATACATGAGATGGATCTCAGCAGTGATCCAGTATTTACAGTGCTTCAAACCTTGAACCAGGCCAATGATTGGTTGAAAGGAATATATGCAAGTAAAGCTATTTGGGCAAAAACTGTACTGCGTATTATACAGTATATTATACACTGTAGTTTCCAATTGCATTACATCAAGTGAACAGGCAGTGGAGAGGTGGAAAAGATGGAGCAACAGAGCTGTGCATGCTCCGCGGAGAGAAGTGGAACTAGAGATGGCTGATAAGTGTGAGAGAAGGGGAAGGTCAATGGTGGAACACCTTGCCCGGTTGGGTAGGCAGGGTGGTGTGCGGCAGCCTGGAATTTGTGCAGACTCTACACCTGAACACGCTGCCCAGCAGCCTGGCCACCCTGGCTTTGGGCAATGACAGGAAGTCCAAGATGAAGAAAACAAGTTACAGCACACACAGGTGTCTTAATGACTTCCTGTGCCTAGTCTGTCACCTCTGTAACCTTTAGCGAGTCATTTACTGTTTCCTATCTGGACTTTGTTGCATCTGCCTCCAGATGGGTTATTCTCAGTCAGGGTCATCTTTGGCTGACAGAAGAAAGAATGACTAAAGCTCGGGAAATAGTCAGCAGCTGCCCTGAGACTGAGTAAAGGGATGTCAGTTGGAAGAGAAAGACCTCAGCTGAACAGGACTAGGTTCTTACGTCAGCCTTGCTCTCTGTCTTCTAGAGAAGGGTCTACAGTAGTTGTACTTTTAATTATGGATGGGTTTATCAAGAATATAGTAAGCCAAATATGAGGATAGAGAGAGAGAATACCAAAATATTATCAAATTGGGCTCTAAAAGCCTCTAGCAGAAATCAGCTTGGGAAGTCTCTTAACGACTGCATTTCCAGATAGAGAACCCTGGGCAGAACAGTGTCCCCTTGGGCAAGGTGTTCAAGTATAAGAAGGACGAGTAACACCAGGAAAGTAGGATCATTAAATTGAGAATTAGAGACATTTACACACATCCAGCAGAAACTGATCGGGGAAATTGAGGGAGTCAGATGTAGTTTCTACTTCTTTCCCCCTTAGGCATTTTCATAACACAGGATGGATAGAAAGCAGTAGTCCTGTTGGGAATGGTTTATCTCTAGCTATTTTATAATAAAAAGATAGTTTTACTCCTGGGCTGTTTTGTTCTCCCCTTCCCTAAGACAGAGTTAGGGCAGGAACCTTGGGTCATAGCCACTGTTTAGTGTAAGCCTGTTCAAGATACTTAGAACTTACAATGAATGCATGCATAAAAGGAGTGCGTTCCCTAATAAGACTAGAAATCATAGAATAACGGAAAACAACAGTGTGGTCTTTATTGGCTCATAGGAATGAAAAGGCCAGAAATGGCTCTAACTGCCACTGAGGGTGGCCCAGTTTGACAGCAAGATGCTACCAACAGCCCTTGAACTTTGTGATTAACTTCCTGTCATACAGGGAAGAGCACCTTAACCTGGTTAACTTTCCTTAGAAGAGTCCAAGACCCTCAGAATCACTTAGACTTGCACTAGGTTCAGTAATAATGTCAACCTCAAATCTGGTGGTCTTGGCCAGAGGTGACAGGCCATGTTCTATCACTAGAGACAGGAATGATGTTGGGTTTCTCTATTGGTGCATGAAACACTAATAGATACATATCCAAAGCTGGTCGGTGGTAGTGCATGCCTTTAATCCCAGCACTCTGGAGGCAGAGGGGGGCGGATCTCTGTGAGTTCGAGGCCAGCCTGGTCTATAAGAGCTAGTTCCAGGACAGGCTCCAAAGCTACAGAGAAACCCTGTCTCAAATATATATAATATATATAGTGAATATATATATATATATATATATATATATATATCCAAATGGAATACCCCCTTTATTAAGAAGGGAAGAAACAAGAGTTCCCATTGTGTTAAAAGGACTCTCTTTCAATATTTCATTGTGGACAAGTGGAAACAAAATAAAGTACAGAATGGCATATTAAGCTACCATTTATTTAAAGAAAAGAAGAATGCATATAAATAAATATACATAGTCACAAAAATTTGTTGAAAAAGAAATGACTAATTTCGGTTTGGGAAGGGGAGAACTTTCCGCCAGCTTTCTTACATAAATTTTAATTTGTGAGCTGTATGTTTGCTAACAGCTCCAAAGGTACTACCAAAGAAAGAAAAACACTATGTAAAAACTGGCACAGGAAAACAGCTGTAAAATAATGGGATACAGAATAGGAGAGAGAATTCAAGTTCACCCAAAGGGTAACCTCTGGATTTCCCCGCACTTTTTCATTTCTAACAGGAGACTGTCACTCCAAGAGTTTATTACATTGTAATATTTACTTCATATAACAACAAATACACGAGAATTTTCTCGGGTTAACCTGGATCCCTTTCCCTGTAAACAAATCCATTTAAACTTTAGCTGAAAATTTCAGAGTAAAAACAGCTTCATGGCCAATGCCCTCTATAAGGACTGTTAAAGGTATATTAACCATTTCAATCATTGTAAAATCTTTATGAGGGAGATATTGTCCTCATTTTTATGAATATGAAATTAGAGATAAAGGATGCTAGTTTGAATCCACTCACTGTGGCTCCAGTTTTTTTTTTTTCCACAACTGTCCAAATACCAATTATAACTTGACTTCTACTTAAAGAGTACAGATTACTTGTTTCTTATGGAAAACCTGCATTTCTTACTCATGAATATTATTTCTTTTTTTTTTTTTGGTTTTTCGAGACAGGGATTATTTCTTCTTTTAAAGAATGTGTGTGTGTGTGTGTGTGTGTGTGTGTGCGCGCGCGCGCGCGCACGCATGCTCTGCTGTCTAGGTACTCACATATAAAGGTATAATTTCCAGTGCCATGGTTAATTTAACTCAGCAGCTAATTAGATGAAAATGTTAAAGGGTACGGTAGAGTTCATGCTTACAAAGAACTCGGAGGAACTGAAGACTAAAAATACACTGGAAACACGTTCAAAATCCAGAGGGTTGTTAATTTTGCTATGATCATTTAAGAGGGAATTTTACCATATTCTAAATTCTATTTTAATTTCATTTTAGGATTTCATCAAAGGTCTTTCCATTTTGCTTCGGGGAACAGTACAAGAAAAACTCAACTGGGCATTTAATCTGTATGATATAAACAAAGACGGCTACATCACTAAAGAAGTAAGAGATGACACACCAATTTAAGTATCCTCTGAGATAGTTTTGATTAACTTCAGAGTATTAGACAATTTCAACGATTACTTTAAAAGTCACGTTTTATGAAATCAAAACTATTTTGTGATATGTTGGTAGAAATGGGATATATTCTAATAAAAATGTAATAGATAAACTCATTCGTAGTAAACCTCCAAAGAAAACATGAAATATATCAATATTATATCCCCTTTTTTCTGTTGATAATATGGGGCAAAGTCAGGATCCTTGAGAGTGGCGGAGGCCTTCTCATATCAGGTAGACAACAGTTTGGGGGCCAAGGGTTCCAGAAAATCAACAGCTACCAAAGCTATACCACCCAATGGCTGTCAGGTATTTCCCTTGCTTGGGGGTGAATCAGGACAACGTTGTGCTCAACAAAAAGAACTGGAGGTATGTTAATAATGTGGTATTCACAAATTACAATGGTTTGCTGATTTAAAACAACAGAAGATAAGGGATGAGGAAAGGTAGTCACCCTTTGTGTAGGATGCTAATAAGATTGAAAACGTTCTGCTGGAAGCCTGGGCATATTTAAGGGTCACAAGGCCTATATTTCTCTCTACATTGCTATCTTCCCCAGAGTGAAGGCTTGAACAAACAGTCCCATTTGAGATAAAGTACTCAGGACCAGCGACATGAACATGCTTTACGGGACACAGACTCCATGTGACAGGGCACCACTGCGTGGTTAGTCACCAAGGATACATGGAGAAAGATTAGGTATCATCAAAGAGTGCTAAATTTCAGACTTAATGAGTAGATGCACTTCTTCCAGATTTAGCATAGCATGAATATCCACTGCCTAGGTACCTCAAGAACATTAGGGAACCTAGAGGACATGAAGAATTTTAGCTCTTCCTATTTGAACCATTCTTTTGTTTGCTGCAATGCTGAGAACTGAACACAGTGCTAACGTTCTATCCCTTTCTAGATTTAATATAGCTCATCAACCTTGCATATAGTTTACTTATATCTTACTATTTATCTATGATAGAAACACCTTATAAAGTTTCATTTATTTTTTGCAAACTGCTTTATCATGCAATACATACTCTCGAAAGTAAATACAAATAGAACTGTATCATCTGCTGAATCTAAGATGGGTTTCATGTCAGATAATAAATCTAAATATTTAAGAAACTAGATATTATTTTTGTCTTAAAAGATTAAAATGACATGGCAAAAAATAGATTTTACTTTAAAAGCTAATGAAATGTTAAGGTGCTTCCTAGTTAAAAGATTTGAATTTGTGTAACTTTTTCAGTTAAATCAAAATTAGGAAAAAGTGATAAAAATAAAAAAGTCTCCAGGGACTTTACTAATTACTTATAATTAGTACTTAGTTTTAGTTTTAAATGCAAAATATTTCTAATAAGTAAAAATCAATAAATGTGTAATAGTCCAGTAAAACAAAGTCTATGTATTTTTTGAAAACATTAAATCAGACTATTCCTTTCCCAACCAAGTGAGATACATGGGAATCTACTTAATTGCAAAACTGAAATCTCACAGTCGATTGTTACATTCGGATTCCATTGCTTTGGGGCTGTTGGCTTCTGGCGAACTAAAAGGCTCAGAAAGAATTTAAGAAACAAGTGAACAGAACACAATCTCCTAATGCATCTGGATGCACTTCTTCACTTGGTGTGCAGTCTCACACGAGTGCCTTTCCATTTCAGGAAATGCTGGACATAATGAAAGCAATATATGACATGATGGGGAAATGCACATATCCTGTCCTCAAGGAAGACGCTCCCCGACAGCATGTGGAGACATTTTTCCAGGTGGGGACGTAAGAGCGAGGGAAGGCGGGAGGGAAGACAGCTATGAACAAATTTCTAGATATTTCCAAAGCACCTTGACGAGAAAAAAAAATGAAGAATGTTGATTCAAAGAGACAAAATGGAAAGGAAAATGTTTATTCACAGGGACAGAACAATAGGACACATAGGATCTTAATTTCATATTTTGGGCTTTTGAATTCATTGTTAAAGAAAATTGTAACTCCAGAAGAGTCACTTTATCCTGACTAAGTCATTCTCCTGTTTCATAACTGCTGTCATGCAGTTCCCACAATAACCTTAAAAATAAATTCTCAGTACTACTCTCCCATTTTATAGAAGGAAATATCAAGACTCTACATTTCCACAAACTGTATGAACTCTGTCTTATTTAGAAATCAGTTTAGATGATTCATGCTTCACATTGTGTGGAAAAGGATACAACCTATGATTTGACCCCGCCATTGTAGGAAGTCACTAGCTCCTCCTAGCATGGAATTGTCCCACATAACACAGTGTCCTACATTCTTATCTGTGTCAGTCAATTGGGTATGGGGAGAATATCAAAAGGCCATCCAATACAATGTTTTGTTCTTTTCTTTCTCAACAGAAGATGGACAAAAATAAAGATGGTGTTGTTACCATAGATGAGTTCATTGAAAGTTGCCAAAAAGTAAGTAAGGAAAAACAAAAACTCTCCCTTTTGTTAGCATCAGCTACAGTGAGCACAGCCAATGGGAAGTAAGCAAAATAGAAATCAACTGTAGAAGCTGAGCACAGTAACAAGACAATCTTCTCACCTGGAAACAAACAGACTTCTGTGCACATCCAATTCAATAGATTGCCTATCCTGAGGCAAAAATTACACACATTGTCCCTTTGTTTCTGGAAACCTTTAGAGGTTACTCATTACTGATAAACAAAAACATAGATGTCATGCAGTGGTGGTGCAAGGCTTTAACCCCAGCATTCAGGAGGCAGAGGCAGGCGGATCTCTAAGAGTTCAAACCCAGCCTGGTCTACAGAGAGAGTTACAGCACAGATAAGGCTACACAAAGAAACCCTGTCTCCAAAAAAAAAAAAAAATCAAAAACATCAATTTAAATTACTGCTTCAGAAGCTGGAGAGGTGGCTCAGTAGTTAAGAGTGCTTGCTGCTCGCTTTAGAGTTCCAGAGTTCGGTTCCCATCATCAAAGTCAGGAATCTCACAATGGTCTGAAAGTCCAGGGCCATGGAATCTGAGACCCTCCTCTGGACTCTGCAGGCGTGTGTATGCTTGTGTTCACATACCTACACACAGATGTATACACATATAATGAAAGAATAAAACTGTAGGCGGAGACTGCTTGTTTCCCAGCTGCCCATAACCGAATAATCACACAGAAACTATATTAATTACAACATTGCTTGGCCAATAGCTTAGGATTCTTATTAACTAACTCTTAAATTAAAGCATTCCTATTATTTTGTATTTCCCCCACATGGCTTGTGGTTTACTGGTAAGGTTTTGGGAAATCTGTCTCCTTCAGCAGCTACATGGTGTCTCTTTGAGCACTCTCTATATATCTCTCTTCCAACCTGCTATAGGCTAAAGCAGCTTCTTTATTAACCAGTGGTAATAAAACATATTCTCAGTATACAGAAGAGAATCCCATATCATAAAACTTTACTCTTTCCAAGTCATAGTTCATTTAAAACATGTTTATTTGTTGTGTCTTCATAGAATAAGAAATCCAGTGCCTCAAGCTTGAATTGGTCTTTGGGTTCTTTTTTTTAATTTTAAATTTCTTTCTGTGTATGTATGTTATGAAGAAAGAACATGCCATGACACATATTTGAAGGCTAAAGGACAACTTGCAGGAGTTTGTTCTTTCATTTCCTTTCTGAAACTTTGAGTTTCAGAGATCAAATTCAGGTCTTCTGCAAGGTATCATTCATTGATTTAATAAACATGGACAAAAAAAAACATTTTGGTTGAACCCAATAATTGTCCCCACTTATAAAAACAAATAGGAAATAATTCTTAGGAAAATCTAACAGTTATGTGCTCCCTGGAAATCTAGACTTAGCTCACCTAGAGTGATTCAACTTCATGCATGGGGGGGGGGGGATTTAATTAGATTGGTTTATAGTAGTTTAAAAATGGCGGTCTCACACTGTAGAGACTGAGAATCTGTAGTTCTTCAGTTCACAAGGCTGCGTGTCCACATAGTCTCAATCTGGCACTGGAGTCCTAAAAGACTCCTGGAGAGCTGCTGACCTTCAGTCTCCGTGGAAACCCTGGAGAAGTTAATTTTAATACTGGCAAAGGGGTACAGTAAGAACAGGATCCATCAACTTGCCAGCAAGAGTGAAAGCAAGCAGGCAAAAAGCAAAGTTGTTTTCCATGTCCTGATGCCACCCAAATTTAGGGTAGGTCTGCCTGCTCCAAGTACTCTTGTCCAGAAAACCCATCACAGGACTGCCCAGCAGCTTGCTTTAGTAGATACCATGTGCTGTTAACAGCCAGCCTTAGCCATCACATTCACTGTTTGCATCCTGACATCATTTGAGAAATACCCTGGTCTCCTACCAAGTTAAGACATAAAATATCTAAAGGAATATTCGAGAAAGTATAAAATAAGGCCTTGTAGTTATTTGTATAGAATGAAGAAGAGATATATTGGCCAACACAAAGCAGCACAAGAAGGTCATAGGCCATACTTAAGGATATACTTTCCATTATAAACCCTGCAGATAAAATCCTTCTCTTTCTCCCATATAGGATGAAAACATCATGCGCTCCATGCAGCTCTTTGAAAACGTGATCTAACGTGTCAGCACATCCTCCGCTGAAGAGGCCAATGTGAACTACTCTACACACTTACAAGTTGGAGCCACCACTTCTAGCATAGATTGCTCAGCTGTACACTGAAGCAGATTATGCAAACAGCTTTGTTTTAATATAAAACAACCCCCCCCCAAGATTTAAGTTTTCCAGTTATCAATCTGCATCATCTCTGCACCATCACTGGGGTCATGAAATGTGCTAACTCGTTTCATCCTCTGAGGCTATTCAAAAGGCACAGAATCTGGAACAGTTTTGATCCTTAGCCACGTGGTCCTGAGGCTTTCACAGGCCAGTGATTTTAAAACACAAGTGGGTTTTCCTACTCATTTGTATGTATTCAGTCCTGGATTTTAAATGGTTTTCTAAAATAATTACATCGGCACTTAATTTCCAGAAAGCCAATGAACTTTCATTTAATTCGAATTATCTAACACTGAAAAATAAACAAAGATTATTGCAATTAAAAAAAGACCAAAAACACAGTCCCAATTTCTATGGCTTCTCCACCTGCTAATGTTAACGACATTAATGTATTTGGCATTTTTTAAGAACACCTAAAAACTTAGTTTATTGTCAGATGTTAGCATATACCTAACAAAATTATTTTAGTATATATTAATTTTTCCATATTAAGGCCAAGGCTCTATATAATCCCTGTTACTTTGGACCTGTTTGATCTTATATGTAGACTGTTTTGTACTGTGTCATGAAGTAGAAATTTAAAGTGTCAAACAATCCAAGGATGTTTACAGATTTGTAAAGGGTCCAGATGTCTGTCCTCCACTACCTAGTAATGCTTCCTAGCAAGTAACCCAAACAGCAGCAAAGGGCAATTCTAGACACACCCAAACACCCTAATGATCTCACAGCATGTTTATTATAAGCCATTCAGGGACAGAGAATCCTTGACTGCCCCAAAGTCACCAGAAGTGAAGATCAAGTAAAATATTCTTTGAAAATACCAGTGATTCTATCATATTGGAAGTTACACATAAAGCTGTATAGAAAATGAATACAAACATTGAACAGTTCATCTGAATTGCATTATGATTTAGCACATCATAGAGCTTAAAGGATTCAGATTCATTTCAGTGATCTTAAGCCAAACTGTAGAGCTGCCACAACAGTACTATAGAGACACATACCTTCCCTGTTTCATAGAAATATCACAAGTACCAAGAGGATACGGGAGGAGAAAATTGCAACTGTCTGCAACAATAAATCAGGTATCTATTCTGGTGTAGATAGGATGTTGAGAGTTGCCCTGCTAGCACCAGTGTAGGAATTAAGAGTAGTACAGTACCTGTACACTGAAACCTGCCATCGCGTGTTTGTGTAAACTCAATGTGCACATTTTCTATCTCAAACGGAAAAATAAAAGCAAAATAAAGTGTTTATTACTCTATTGTGTCTGCTATAGGTCTTTATGTTCTAGCAAGTTCAACTACTGGATTCAAACTAGACTGCCACTCTCTTTGGGTAGTGCTGCCTACAGAGAAAACCCAAAGCAAGGCTGAGGTCAGGCAGCTGCTAGAGTAGGCATGGTCTGAGGATGTGACAAGGTACTATAGCTCTGAGGAAAGAGAGGACCCAGGATCAGGCAGCAAAGGCCCTGGTCGCAGGTGGCCAGGTCTATATATGGTGACTCAGCAGTTGCTTGCTTTCGATCAACTGACAGCTGTGCAGCTATCTGAAACAAGAATTGCAGAGGGGTCAACCAGATGTCTGTAGGAGACAAGTGGGGACAGTATCATCTATCCAGTGTTTAGAAGGCATGTGGCTGCTGCCACATAACACAGTGACTGCCTAGCCCAATGTTTTCCAATGTGTGGCCATGATTTTGATTTGGTTTGACTATCTAAGTTCCTGTAGCCGCTCTCCTGCCAGTTAGATTGAAGGTCTCACTCGCATTTTCTATTTCTCTTCCTCTACTCCTTCTTCTTGAAGAATCATCCAGAAGTTTCTAGCTCATGAGAAACTCTGGGCTGCATCCATAAATTATGTTTTCAATAACAAAGTAACTGAAAAACAAAGAAGTACTAGGGTATCACTGGATACATGTTTTAAGATTTTAATTTCTGCATAACTGCACATGTACATCATCCGTATCTTCAGGCCACAAAATGTAGAAGTAATATTCACTTCAAGTTCAGGTAGTTTTAACAGTTGTAATAAACAATATACTTGTAATCGAATTTTTACATTTAAAACAAGGTTTCTAAACTAGAATATTGAGGAAGGAAAAGATGCCCCCAAGCGTTTCACATTATAAAATACACATTTGCACATCCTAGCTAATAGGGAAGTCACAAATGTTTACTTGCTATCTTAAATTGTTTCATTCTTGATAAATATAAAAACCAGGAAATGGCCAAAACCAACATATAAAATAAGTGCCCAGCTATAAAGTGATCTTTAGAAGGGCTATAAGTAAAAATATATTGGAAAATATGCACATAGATATGATCCATAAATTCACACAGATGACCAAGATGAGGAACGCTCACAGATCAACTTTTTCACGAGTATTTTAATTGCCTTCCACTAGCACCTGTGCTTTGTGTTGACAAACAGCTTGCACAATGAGTCCTCTGGATTGGACATGGTCCTCCGAGCCTAGTTAGCCAACGAACGGTGCTGGGAGTTAGAGTAAAGCGAACTCAGGAGAGGGTCACTGCAGCCTCCAGCAGTGCCTGAGTAAGCAGCATGGCTTTATTCAACAGCAGATGGAGCAGTACGTGGGGATCTTGGATTTGATGACCATAAGACTTCCCTGACAACAGAAGAAAGCAATGTCATTAGAACACAGTTACCCTGCTAGGCACTATACAAGTGTTGCTTAAGAATCCAAGATTCAAAGAGCCGTCAGAGAGGGAGGGGGAAAGGAGTGGGGGGAGGGGGAGAAGGGTGGGAGGAGGGGGAGGGAAATGGGAAGCTGGGAGGAGGTGGAAACTTGTTTTTTTTTTCTCCTTTTCTCAATAAAAAAAAATTAAAAAAACAAAAAAAAATAAGAATCCAAGATTCAAACAAAGTAATACGAAGGGCACAACGAAAATTACAGAATGAACAGAGAGCATTTTCCTGAGGGAAATAAAACAGATAACAACCTTCATGCACCCAAGCAGCAGTACAGAGTTAGGGTAGTGTTTAATGTATCTTCCCTGCACTCTACTCGCACACGGGGGTTAATTACTGCTGCACCCAATATCCTGATCACAGGGGGAAACCAGCAAAGTCTACCTGTGAGGCTCTGCTGGAGACCAAGTGAGTCCAGTGCTCCTGAGGACTTAGCAGAGAACTTGACACAGTTCTCACAACTCCAGAGAGAAACGAAGGGCGGGGCATTTGCCTTACCCAAGACAGGTGAGCATGCTGCTGAGGACAAAACCAGATCCTACATTTGTAAATGTCTTCATCGTAAGACTGGCAACGATTCCTTATAAGAAAGTGTCTCTGGTGTAACAAATGTTTCCATTTCCCCAGTAGGTAAGCCTTCACATGATTATAATCCATAATAGTCAAAGGAAAGAGCAAACTCCTATACTAAGCATTCTTGGCTTTTTAATGTGTTTAGATTTTATGTATTTCTATTTAAAGTGTATGGGTGTTTTGCCTGAATATATGTCCATGCACCACATGTGTGGAGTGTATGAAGAGTCCAGAAGTGGGTTTTGGATCTTCTACCGTACCGAGCCACCATGTGTGTGCTGGGAATGGACCCTGGGTCCTCTGGAAGAGCAGGGAGTATTCTTAACCAACAGGTCATCTCTCCAGGCCCCCCCAAATTTTTTAAAAGGTTCATTACAAATGAAGAAACTTTATGTACATATATATACATATATATATTTTATTAAAATTTTATTTATTTTATATACCAACCACAGTTTCCCCTCCCTCCCCCTTCCCTCCTCCCACCTCTCTTCTACGCACCTCACCTACTCCTCCCCCACCTCCACTGAAAAGGAAAGGACTCCCTTGGGAGTCAACAAAGCATGTCATATCAAGTTAATGCAAACTCATTCCTACTGCATCAAGGCTGAGCAAGGCATCCTACCATAGGAAATACATTTCAAGCAGAAGGAGGGGGAACATGAGCAAAGAAGTCAGGACCACGAGGGGTGCACCCACCCACTGAGACAGTGGAGCTGATCTATTGGGAGCTCACCAAGGCCAGCTGGACTGTGACTGAAAAAGCATGGGATAAAACTGGACTCTCTGAACATGGCGAACAACGAAGGCTGATGAGAAGCCAAGGTCAATGGCATGGGGTTTTAAACCTACTTAATGTGCTGGCTTTGTGGGAGCCTAGCCAGTTTGGATGCTCACCTTCCTAGATATGGACGGAGTGGGGAGGACCTAGGACTTACCACGGGGCAGGGAACCCTGACTGCTCTTTGGACTGGAGAGGGAGGGGGAGAGGACTGGGGGGAGGGGGAGAAGGGTAGGAGGAGGGGGAGAAGGGTGGGAGGAGGGGGAGGGAAATGGGAGGCTGGGAGGAGGTGGAAACTTGTTTTTTTTTCCTTTTCTCAATAAAAAAAAAAAAGCTAGCTCATATATGAGGGAAAGTTCCTGGTCCCATTGTCTCCTTCGAACTGGAGGTACAGGTGGTTGTTAATCACCACGAAGGTGCAGAAAACTGAACACAGGTTCTCTGCAAAAGCAGTAAGTGCTGAACCATTTCTCTAGCCCCTAGAAAACTTTCTTTAGCAATGACAGCAATTATTATTAAAATACAACATAGGACACACAAGGAACAGTAAAGAGGACTGTGGAATATTTAAGATACCTTGTAACCACAAACCCTCCTTCTCTGTAAACTTAGTATTAGCAATATCTAAAGCTAATTAAATTGAGTAACAACAAAGGCACCCTCTCTCTCTAGAACCTTGGATTGGCCACAACCTCTGCAGGTGAGCTCCAAGTAACAATGTTGGGCTTCTGAAATATATCTACATCACAATACAACTACTTTCCCAATCCAACAAAGATATCCACAAAAGTCCCATGATGGTTCTTTCCCTTTTGCCTGACCCATTCCCTCAAAAGGTCTCCTGGAGGCAGACAAACACTAGGGAGAGTTATGGACTAAAATTCACCATCCATTCACTTGGATTTTGCAGGGAGAAAAAGACAATACATCTGGGATTGAGATTTTGAGTGATCAAGGGAATCGATAAGTAAGTACTTCATCAGAAATGGAGACAATGGTCTGGCTAGGGGCCGGTTCTACACATGTCTTCAGTGCCTGAACACCAATCTCCTGCTTAAAATCAAACACACACACACACACACAAATACATTTTCTAACAACCCTTTTGAGGCTTAGTTCCTTCACATAAATGAAGTGCTCATCACAAACACAATATATTCAATTCAAAGATTATTAAAATTAGCAGAATTAGCTGATTAAGGCATGGCCAGCGAAACACTGTACAGAATCATATACATTTCTTCTAATTAATTATTTAGAAAATATGGAAAATGAAAGTTCTACATTATTAAGCTAACTACCCGATATTTCTTTGAAATCATGAGAATATAATTCATTTTGCTGATATCATATAATAATGATATGTCCATATTCTTCCTCTTGAAAAGTTGGGAGAAAAAAATCAGATCAACTCTAAAAAAAAAAAAAAAGGTTTCTCTGTGTAACTATTCTGGTTGCCCTGGAACTCATTTTGTAGATCAGGCAGGCCTTGAACTCACTGAGCTCCACCTGCCTCTGCTTCCCATGTGTGGGGAATAAAGGCGTGTGCCAACACCGCCCGGCAGAGCTACTCCTGAAGAATGTCTACGTGCTGCACTGCTGTGGAAGTGGCATTTCCATGTACAGGGAGAGTCTAAAACTCAGAGGAAGGAAACAGGGCAGATTGAAAGGGAATGGAGAACCAGGAGTGTGGGGAGCTCAGGAAGCACCTGGTTAGCACACATAAGGACCTGGGATTTCTCTATAGTACAGCCAAGTACAGAAATAAACAAATATGCAATTTTTAAAAAGCATTTTTTGAGAGTTGAGCTAGGTTTGTCATCCTTTGACCTTTTCATACATCAAAACAAAACATTAAACTAAATTAGAGAGAAAACCTAGTGAGAGTACACTGCCAAGACCCCAAGACCACCACACATGCACAGGCCTTTATTTACCCAGGGCTGCTTTTGCCAAAGTCATCTTAGAAATTACACCACCCCAACAAAAGAGAAAATTTTAGTCTGAAAGATGAAAACTAGACGTTTTCACATTTATCCTTGCAGCTGTAATGAGTTAACATAAACTAACCACACACTGAACCTCTGAACAGGCCTGCATGTACAATGCACAGAAACAATGTGTGGGTACAGGTGCAGTGCACAGAAACAATGTGTGGGTACACATGCAGTGCACAGAAACAATGTGTGGGTACGGGTGCAGTGTACAGAAACAATGTGTGGGTACACATGCAGTGCACAGAAACAATGTGTGGGTACGGGTGCGGCATTCTACTTACACTCCCACCATGCTGCTCCAGCTTCTGCAAGGCACTGGTGATGGGCTCTTTGAATTTTTTGTCCGTTAGCCTCTTGGAAAGCTTTTGAAGGTTGGGGAAAGGGGAAATTTCAAAATAAAAAAAAAAAAAGTTTGCCATAAGCACAAATAATTTTTAGGACGTCTTTTTTTTTTTTTTTTTAATTTTCGAGACAGGGTTTCTCCGCAGCTTTTTGGTTCCTGTCCTGGAACTAGCTCTTGTAGACCAGGCTGGCCTCGAACTCACAGAGATCCACCTGCCTCTGCCTCCCGAGTGCTGGGATTAAAGGCGTGCGCCACCACCGCCTGGCTAGGACGTCTTAAATTAAGAATACAAAGTGTGTTTTAATAAACATTTCACTAAAAGTTACTTATAGCAATATGTGAGTTGATTAAAGGTTAAATTTATGATATTTCAAGCACTACCTATCCTATGACATCTGCTATAATGACACAATTTCTGGGGCTGAAGAAATGACTGACTTCAGTTCCCAAGACCCACATAAATAGTTGGGTATGGGGGCGCTGAAGAGATGGCTCAGTGGTTAAGAGCATTGCCTGCTCTTCCAAAGGTCCAGAGTTCAATACCCAGCAACCACATGGTGGACACACAACCATCTGTAAAGAGGTCTGGCGCCCTCTTCTGGCATTCAGGCATATACACAGACAGAATATTGTATACAAAATAAACAAATAAATAAATATTTAAAAAAATAGTTGGGTCTGGTGGCTTATGTTTCTAATTCCAGCACTGGGGGTGCAGAAAGCAAAAGGTTCCTTTGGACTCACTGCCTGGACAATGTAGCCTGCCTGGGGAGCTCTAATAAATAGGAGACCTATGGTAAAACAGGGGGACGGTATTCCTGAAGATGACACCTGAGATGGTTCTGGACATTTCACACTTCACATTTCACGTGTATGCACACGTGCATACGTAGACATGCATATGCTTTTGAACCGACACATAACTAACTACACGTGAACTCACATAAAAATTAAGTTTTCAAAAGCATGACACACTTTCCCATTTTGTCACATGTAAGAACATGCAGAGAGTTGTGACAGAAAGTTATGCCTCCAGAGCAAATGTTACCCAACAACAGGGGGAATTGTTGAAAAGTAACAATGACTAATGGAGGAATCACACTAGAAACCACAAGATCGTTACTGATCTCTGGTTAAGCTCTAAACAGGCCCTAGCTGTTTACAAAGGACAGCATATGTGCAGGAGGACAAAATCGCAGGCACTAGCAGAGACAGTGCTATGGAGGGAGTCGGGAAATACCAGTGTTCCCATAAAATACATGTATTTCTGAGAGCAACACCTAGACACTTCAGCTAAAACAAGCCACGCTCTCAGGTAAACATTGTAAAAACATTCAACAAAGGTTTGATGGAATGACACAGAGCACTTTTTATTATAAACATAAATCCAGCTATGTATGTAATCCATTAGAAAATATTGGAGAGGTACTATCTACTTAAACTAGTCTGTGAGCTACTTAGTCTAATCTGCACTTGCTGGTTAGGGTAAAATTAACACTGCCTGTCATAGTGACTGGATAGAGAAATGCCCAGGTAAATAAAACAAGCCTTTGGTTTGTCTTCAGGGAAGGGTTTCTCCAGAAGACTCATGAGGCTCTAGCTAAGGAGTGAACTTATCCTTGTTGGACCCTTCATGTGGGTATTACTGAGAAGTGGGAGGTGGGGCTAAGTGTGAGAGAAAGGTTACTGGAACCCTGAGCCCCTCCTATGTGCCCATCATGTTTCCTGCCCTAAGTCGCCTGGTCCACACTACCACATCCTTCCTGTCATGAAGGACTGACACCTAGGAGACTTTGACAGCAAACAAACCTTTCCTATGATTCTGTTGTATCTGCCAGGGATGCTATCACGAAGACAAGAAAACGTCCTTTTGTGGATTTGAGCTAGGCGAGCGGCTGACTGCGGTTGTGGGGACGTGTGCACAGCTAGTCTGCTCTGCAGTACTCACACTTGTAAGCAGGAGTTTCAGATGGCCATTCAGAGATGGGCCAACGACTGCACTTAACTGTACGAGTGCGCTCAGTCCTCTCTCAAACACTTCGTCATCGGGATGGACCTGTGGGGTCAGTTAACAGGAAGAACTGAAGCCAACACAACCCTCAGAAAGATTCCCTGGGTTCTTTCTTTTGGTCCTTTCCCATGGCCCTTTGTGTATCATTCCACTTTCTACGTTCAGAACAGAATTAATGCATTTACATGTGAATGAGATGCTCCTTGGCTCAAGAGGGAATAAAGGTGAAGGGACAGAATGAGGATAAATGAAAGGGAAGACAGGTTAGGAGAAAGTAGGCAGGGTGGGGGAAAGTGGAGGGGGGAGTGGGATGAAGCATTTAATCCTAGAAATCGCTCAACAAAGACAGTTTAGGAGAAAGCTTGAATGTGCTGTATCCGAGGTAGAGCAGCTTCCGTCAGCTAAGAGCATTCACTAAGATTTATCGCCTCTCATCACCCAAAAGCTTCCCTTCCTTCCCAGGACCCTGAGATACCCTCTATGGGGTTAAGTGCATAACTACATGACTCTGAGTGACAGTGGGCTAACATTGCACATACCTGAGAAACCCACAGGTAAAGCACTGATCTGCATGCAATATGGGGGAGGGGAGGAACAGCCTGTGTTCTCTTGGATCAGAGTTTCCATCCGTATCATGTGACTGGGCATAATGAAGTCCAGTTTAGTAAATGACTTACCAGAGCTGCCTTCAGCACAGGGCTCAGTCTAGGTAGCAATGGTACAGCTTTTTCAGAAGCACCCTTGACCAGAAGTAATTCCCTAAAGCCCTCCTTGGACACAAAGGTATAAGGATGCTTTGTCTCCCTCAGACCCTGCCAAAGACAATACAAATACAGAAACGTGATTCCTACCATTTGATTATGTTAACAGCCACAAAACTCAATGTTCCTGACATGTTTGCTTAATGTCTTTCTAACACAGTAAGCAATTCCAGCAATTATTGTTTGAATTATACCAAGAAATCATGTAAGATCCAAGACACAGAAGTCTCTATCCTCACATGGAATGAGAAAAAAGAGCAAGAAAATGAAAATCAACAGAGTAACAAAAAGGGACGAAAAAACTAAGGAGATAAAAAAGGAACACTAAGGACAGGTAAGTGGAGGAGAGGTGGAGGGAAAGGAAAAGCTGATGGGAGAAGATACAGCAGCAATCAAACACAGGGACCACTGCTTCCTAGGAAACACTGAAGCACAGGAAGGTACACAGTGCCTGTTCTGTTCTGGAGCCCCAATGCGAGCAGCTGAGTTAATACAAGGGCTCTCTTTCTCATTTAAATACACTAAGATATTTAGAAGGAAGATCCTGCATTGGCTGGGACAGTGTCAGAACTATCTACTGTTCACAGTGGGGCACAATCTGAAAATACAACCTGTACACAGCACTGCTTATAGTGAGTGCCTTTCCTCCCAGCTGGTAGAAAAGGATGGTCTGCACTCATGACTTACCAGTCACTACTACAGGACAAAAAATGACCATCTGACTTTTGAAAAAGATCAAACAAAGCAAAGAGGAAAGGAAGAGCAATGCCCTTGGATCTATCAGTGGCACAAGTTTAAGTAACCAGATGCAAAGTCATGTCACCAATGCCAATTTCCAATATTTTGTCAATTTGGCCTGAGTATCTGCTTCCAAACAGTGGTCAAATGTCCCCTTCCCACTGTCCTACCATATTTTCTAAAACAAAATCACCAATATGGTAAATCATCCCCAAGGATTTCAGTACCTGTGCTGACAATACCTGGCTCTTACTCATTCTCAAGATGGAGAATCAAAAGTCAAAGCTGGAATGGATCTCAACAGTGGTCTGTCTGTATTCCTTCCCCACTACTAGGTAGAAGAAAAAAGGAAACTGCTACCCAGTACAGACACACATGAACTGGTGCTGGACCACAGGTATATACAGGACTGATCTCGGCCACTGAGATAGCTTGCATAAAGGTAATTCCAACTAAGCCTGATATCTGAGTTCACTCCCTGACCCCATCCGGTGTAAGGAAGAAAGCAACTCCATGAGGTCCTCTGACTCCCATGGCACAGTCACACAACAAACAAACACTTTAGATGGATGTAAAGGCAGAAGCCGTTTAGTGACTCTACAAATTAAAGCACTTTGTGGACGTTAATCATCTGTATTATGTAATGTATCACGAGCTTTGATTACTCTAAACCATGCTCTGATATTTTATATAAAAGACTTCTGTCTAAAAGAGAACTAAGTACGACATACCATCCACTTCATTTATCTATAAATCCCTGTTAGAACTTCATTTTTATAAGACTGCTCAAACCATTCATTTTACATAATATGTGTATGTGTGTATATAAAATGTCCTGCATATATGCACATATGTACATAACAATCACAATAACTTGCCTAGAGTCCAATACTTTAGTGTCTCTTACTTGATATTTATTTTAAAAGTATACAGTGAGATGTACTTATAAGCTACAAAGTAACAATGAAATTCCAAAATTATTTTTTCTATTAGCACTCAGGAGAGCTAGAATATTTTACCTCAGCTAAAGTAATTAGAAGCGGGTCAAATGGAAGAATTTCAGGCGGGCATTCCCATTGTAATCTGTGTTTTACTGAGCCATGTACCAATCTAAAATACAAAAGTCAGAAACTGTAACAGGAACCCCCGCAAGCATTTATAGGTAGGGAGCTTAACACAGTATTCTTGCCAGAACAGAGTCGCAGTAGAATTACTTTGTGATATACAGGAGTGTATACCATACTCGTAAGGACATGGACAAAGGAAAGCAAATAAGCAATCCTTCATTTTCCCACATTATCTCTAAAGCTGTTTAGTAATTGTGTATTGTAAACCTTTTTATGCATATTTTTATTTATATTTAAGCATGTCACTCTCTCAGAATCTTGATATACATGTTACACTGAGCTCTCTGACACAATTAAAACAAGTAGGTAAGCTACTGAAAATGAAAACCGGTAGTAATGAGAAAAGGTGAGGCTCATGGAGAACATTTTCTTAACCTAACACTGATAACACTCACTAATAATATGGAGGCAAATCCATTTTACTCCTCCTTAAAGAGAAAAAACTACGAACAGGAAGATGAAATGGTCCCCTCTGAGGTTACAAGAGGTCCTGAATTAAGGCCTCTCACTGTTCCCCAGAGCAACTCCTGAACCGTAACCGATGAGTTTACAATACAGCACTACCGTCATGCTGTGAACTGACCACCGGTCACTCCCAAACACTACCGTCATGCTGGGAACTGACCACTGGTCACTCCCAAACACTACCGTCACGCTGTGAACCGGCCACTGGTCATCCCCAAACACTACTGTCACGCTGTGAACTGACCACTGGTCATCCCCAAACACTACCGTCATGCTGTGAACTGACCACTGGTCATCCCCAAACACTACCGTCATGCTGGGAACTGACCACTGGTCACTCCCAGACACTACCGTCATGCTGTGAACTGACCACTGGTCATCCCCAAACACTACCGTCATGCTGTGAACTGACCACTGGTCACTCCCAAACACTACCATCATGCTGTGAACTGACCACTGGTCATCCCCAAACACTACTGTCATGCTGTGAACTGACCACTGGTCATCCCCAAACACTACCGTCATGCTGTGAACTGACCACTGGTCACTCCCAAACACTACCGTCACGCTGTGAACCAGCCACTGGTCATCCCCAAACACTACCGTCACGCTGTGACCTGACCACTGGTCATCCCCAAACACTACCGTCATGCTGTGAACTGACCACTGGTCATCCCCAAACACTACCGTCATGCTGGGAACTGACCACTGGTCACTCCCAGACACTACCGTCATGCTGTGAACTGACCACTGGTCATCCCCAAACACTACCGTCATGCTGTGAACTGACCACTGGTCATCCCCAAACACTACCGTCATGCTGTGAACTGACCACTGGTCATCCCCAAACACTACCGTCATGCTGTGAACTGACCACTGGTCACTCCCAGACACTACCGTCATGCTGTGAACTGACCACTGGTCACTCCCAGACACTACCGTCATGCTGTGAACTGACCACTGGTCACTCCCAGACACTACCGTCATGCTGTGAACTGACCACTGGTCACTCCCAAACACTACCGTCACGCTGTGAACCAGCCACTGGTCACTCCCAAACACTACCGTCATGCTGGGAACTGACCACTGGTCATCCCCAAACACTACCGTCACGCTGTGAACCAGCCACTGGTCATTCCCAGACATCTTGGTTTCATTCAGCTCTCTGGCCTGACTTCTTCACTGTTACAATGACAATAGCCTCAGCAAGCAATAAGGTTTTACATTTTCAGCAAATTTCAACCACTCTAGGGAAAAGCACTCAAGAAGCTCCAGAGTTTAAAATAAAACAAAGTTTCAGTCTCAATGTATGTAAGACAGCTTCTCATGTAGAGTAAGCTGACCTCAAGTCCACGATGAAGCCGTGAGTGAATTTCCTCCTGCTTCCCCATGCCAGTACCGGGATTATAGGTAGAGAGGACCATGCCAAGTTTATGGAGTCTTGGCAGATGGAACTCAGGGCTTTAGGCACGGTGGGAGGCACTCTGTCAACTGAGCTACATCCCTAACTCTTCAAAATAGAATCTAAGTATAAAATGTAATGATAAACTCAAGAATGCTTCTTTAGCCAGGCGGTAGTGGCACACACCTTTAATCTCAGCAGCTGAAACGTTGAGTTAAAGGCCAGCCTGGTCTACAGAGTGAGTTCCAGGATAGCCAGAGCAGTTACATAGAGAAACCCTGTCTCGAGGGATGGGGAGGGAGCTTCTTCAGCTTATGTTTCACTCCAAATTCGAAGATAAATTTTAGAAAAATGCAGTTTTGAAAATCCAGAATCAAATATTTACTAAGAAATAATATTCCACTGCACTGTCAATGTTTACATTACCAGCAAGGCAGGGCCTATTGATTAGGAATTTGCAAAAGCCTATGAATGCTTAAATTAGTTGTATCAAAAGTGTACACTCAGGTCAATTTAATTTCTGAAATTATTTGGTGTTCTACTACAGATCTTCGTAATTACACATTGGAGTTGAGGTTTTTTATTTTTTAATCAACAATGTCCAGGGATCGATACCAATACAACAGTCAAGGTAATGTCACCTTGATTTAAATCTCACTAGTAAATACATTTTCAACAAAGTTAAACTAAATAATATATTGATCTCAAGCAATTATTTTGAACCACACAGTCAGCTATGCATCATATTGATTTTACCTGCAAGGAATACCTCCTTTCGAGTAGATAGCTGCAAATGCAGAGGGAGCTCGTGACTGTTCACCAAACTGAAATTAAAACACAGAAAGATCACCACTAACTCTATTTATTGATACCTTCACTTTAATCCTATAGAGATCAGAGGCAAAAAAAAAATTTTTAAACCTAACCTCCAAACCCCCAGTGTGTTATTTTGTGTACATCCCTGCTCAGCCACATGACTGAAAAAACAAAAGACCACACACACAACCAAGATGTAGAGTTTTGTTTTTTTTTTTTGTTTTTTTTTTTTTTTTTGTCAATCTCTAATTTGCCTCAAAGCTTTGCAGGTGGCTGGAACCATACACAGAGCAAAATGTCTTTCCACTTCCTCTGTCAGTCTGAGTCTCAAGGTTAGGGACGAATAAAGAATTCAGGAATTCAGGATTAAGGGGGTTGGGATTGGCTACCCATTATTGTATGTTCTACATGTCTATCAACCATTCACATATGTGTACAGATCAGGGAATGTATGTAACTTCTTCAAACTGGCTTTACATTTCTATGCCACAAGGGATTGGTAGAGCCAAAGATCAGGAAAAAGTCATACAAACAAATATCTGAATGCATCTCCTGGATTATAGAAGTGGTGCAAAGGACAGAGAGTGTCTGTCCATTAACTTTTAGCCAGCTTTGTCTGTCCTGCATGCTGTTCAGTCAAGTATAGATATGTAGAGGTCAAAGAATCAGGGTAACTTCTCCAAACTGTCAATGCCTCTGTTAAACAGAGGATTCTATCCTGATTTCTGGTGGACCAAATTTGTAGTTCATAAAGGAATAGTTAAGAGTTCTAGGTGAATAAAGAAGCACAAGAATAATCAATCCCATAGCAACCGAATGCAAGCTAGTTCGCTGACATTAGGAAGCAGGACAGAAAGTTAAAAAGCTGACATACAGTTCAGAGCATAACAAAATTAACATAGCTAGCTGAAAACTAGCAGAAAGGAACTCCATGAGAGCATTCAGAAGGGTCCAACTGCAATCAGCTAAAGGCCTGTGTCATGAATGGTTAAACTATAATCAGACAAGTGCCTATTCCTTGTGAAAATGTACTGCCTGAGGAATCTGTACTCACGGGGTTGATCGTTTTAGGGTTGAGTTTGTCACTTGGCCTGGGATGAACCCTTCTTGCAGCCTCAGGAGAACTAGCTAATGAGGAGGATTTGCTCCGCTGAACTGTCGTCCTGTGTTTTATTTGTGCACTTGAGGATGTTCTTTGATCATAATTACCTGGAGGAAAAATTAGATCAGTACAAAAAGACAAATATGCAAGAGAAGCTATCTGGTATCCTCACAAAACAGATAATGTATCATCATTAACAAGCCCGGCCTCTCCCTTTGAAAAAGCAGAGCTCTATACCCGTTGTTCTGTTTTTCAACTGCACACCTCCAGGGTACTCGGATTTCTGCATGGCTTCCCTTTCACCCCTGCAATGAAATGAACCAATTTCAGAATCTGTTGATCTGCCATACACACAAGACCAAAACGAACAGTTACAAACAGATGTGGGTGTGGAGGCCCAAGGTTATCACCCTTTTTCCATAGTGCTCCATCTTATACATTGAGGCACGGTCTTTCTTTCACTGAGCCCAGATTTTCCCTTATGGGCTAGTATGGCTAGTGAGCCTGGGCCAGAGATTCCCTGTCTGTGTCCCACACGTGCTGAGATGACAGACAGACCACCACAACCACCGGAGTTCTCAGACAATTGCAGGTGACCAGATTCTTAACCAGCTGAGCCATCTCCTCTGCCCTACTTTCTAATTTAAACGAGTTTAAAAGCCAACAAATCCCTTCATTTGAAAAGCTTTCAGAATCTATAAAATGTAGCTTCCAAGGTGTTTAGTTATTCAATGTAGTCTGTGTCACATGTGTGTAACATATGAGGTTCACGTGGAAAAGTAGGTGTGTCATGAAGGGCAGAGGTTGACATGGGCATCTTCTGCTATTGCTCTTCGCCATTTTGTGAACCAGGCTTTCTCACTGAACCTGGAGTTCATAGATTCTACTAGGCTCGGGGTCTGCAAGTCCCTAGGATCTTTACAAAATAGTACTTTGGTGTATTTGACTTTTAGACAGGGTCTTGTTATATAGTCCTGGGTGGCCTGGAATTTGCTGTGTAAACTAGGTTGGCCTTGAACTAAGAGATCTCCCTGCCTACATTTCTGAAATGCTGAGAATGCTTAAAGGCATGTAACAACATGTAGGCAAAAGTAATTATTTTTAAGGTATTTTTGGTTTCATTTATTCCTTCTTCTCTCATAATACATCCAACCATAGTCTCCTCTCCCTAGTCTTGGTTCCAAACCACACCCCACCTCCACTCTCCTCCAGATCCACTGCTCCTCTATTTCCCATCAGAAAAGAACGGGCCTTCCAGGGATATCAACCAAACATGGCAAAAAAAAAAAAAAAAAGATGCAATAAGACTAGAAACAAAATCATATAAAGGCTGGATGAGGCAACCCAGTAGGAGGAAAAGGGTCCCAAGAGCAGGCAAAAGAGTCAGAGACACCACCTCTCCCACTTTTTGGAGTCCCACAAAAACCTAAAGCTAAACAACCACAACAAACATGCATAGACCCTAGTGCGATTGCTGCTTCAGTCTCTGTGAGCCCTTATGAACTCTGCTTAGCTGATTCTGGGGACCACGTTCCCCTGGTGTTCCTCTGGCTCCTACAATCCTTTCCCTGACTCTTTGTTGGGCTCCCAGAACACCCCTAATGTTTGGTTGTGGGTTTCTGGATATGCTCCCATTAGCTGCTGGGGAAAGCCTTACTGGATGAAAAGGCTAGACAGAGATGGCTCAGTAGTTAATAGCAGGGGCTGCGCTTCCAGGGGTCCTGTATTCAATTTCCAGCAACCACCTATAATAAAATTTGATCTCTTCCTTTGGCATGCAGAAATATACATATATGACAAAAGAGTTTATGATGTATATGACAGAACTCATATACATAAAATAGATAAATATTTTAAAAAATATTTTTAATTGCTAAAGGTATTACTCTTTATTTTAAAATGCAAAGTAAATATGCCTGTTTTTTTTATTTTTTATTTTTATTTATTTTTTTTGTTTTGTTTTTCGAGACAGGGTTTCTGTGGTTTTGGAGCCTGTCCTGGAACTAGCTCTTGTAGACCAGGCTGGCCTCAAACTCATAGAGGCCTCTGCGTCCCGACTGCTGGGATTAAAGGTGTGCGCCACCACCGAAAAAAATGTCCACCTCGAAGAATACCACTGACAAGCTCAGACTCATGTTGTCTGTGAAAGGAAACGCTTTCTTCGCCTTTAGACTACTTTTTCTTTAAATGACGACATGAAGAGGAGAAAACGCTTTATATAAAATTATCCAAGACACCCCACGTTTCTGTCTCAGAATTCTAAGTGGACATCAGAATACAGAAACGCTCTAACTGTGGAATGCCCACATTAGGTCACAATGGCAGAAGGAGAAACAACAAAAACGATACAAATCCCCTAGGTTTCATTGGGCAGCTATCTAAAAAGAACCGGGGGGGTATCTGTAATGCTAGGAAACCACACCTTCTTTGTTTTACAAATACCAGGTTTCAGTGCCCACCTTCCCCAGTTTAAGACTAATCGTCTGTCACCATTCTTTTACTCTCTAATTAGAAATCCAGAAAATTCAAAAAAAAATTTCAAAAGGTGCTCTGCTAAAGAAGCTGCGTTCCATCTGCAAAGGTCCTTCAAACTCCAAAACGGAAGACCCCACTCCCTTCTTTTTTTTTTTTTTACTCCCTTCTTCATCAAGAAGTAAAAGCTGCTTTCCATCTGCACGAATATCCCATCACCAAATCCACCCACTTGCAAGCACCTAATTTAGCTCTAGGATGTTGTTGAAGTTGAAAAGAAAGAAGTGTGTAGACACCGCTATAGGGGGGAAAAAAAATAGGGAGACATATCGAATAGACCCCAGTTAGAATACTCTAAGCCAAGTTCCCAGAGCTCTTCTGGCGGCCCTAGCAACGGGACGCCAACCTGGGAAGGTCGCCACGCCGAGACCCCGCCCTGTGGCCCGCGCCTACCGCCAGTCCCTTCGCTCCCGCGCGCTCCCGCCGCCCCAGGTGGGGCTTCAGTCCTGCTCTCCGCCCAAAGCCAGCGGCTCCGCAGCCTGCAGCTTTGGCCCAGGAATCCCACTTCGAGGAGCAGACACTTCCGGCGCTGCACAGTGACGTCACGCGCAGTGCCCGCTCTAAACCAATCATAGGGAGACCGCGGAAGCATTAGGGAGGTTGCCGGGCAACGAGTTGCCGTTCTGAGGGTTAATGTTCTGGAAGAGATCTGGTAACAATTTCGGTGATAAAAGAGCCCCTGGGAGACCTTAAAGGAAGTTTAAGTTCTTGTTTTCAGAGAAAAGACTCTGATTCTCTCTAGTTCTCCGGTACAGTCTCTCTCCATTATGTGCTTTACTCGTAGGGTCTCAGGAACATTTACTGTCCTCCCACACTCCTGTCTTAACTACTGAGCTCCATCCCTATCCACGGGGTGTTGGGGAGGGGTCACACAGGGCCAGCTGTGGGCTTTTGAAAACCTCCAACCCCAACCCCAGTGACACACTTTCTCCAACAAGGCCACACCTCTTAATCCTTCTAATCCTATCCTAGAGTTTCACTCCCTGATTACTGCGCATTCAAATAGAGGAATGGGACCCCCACGTACCTATGGGCCTAGCTATATAAATATCTGTGTCACCCTCAGCAACGTGTTTACTCTCCTGGTGATGATATAAGGAGTTGAGATCCGGGGGAAATGTTTAATACACAGTGGCTGGCTACCATCAATAGGATTTCTGGGAGCGACTGCTCATCTTTTCTCCCATGTAAGGATGTTGCGAAATGGCACCGTCTAGGAACGAAAAAAGAAATAAATGAGAAATAAATCTTCCATTTGTAAACTACCCAGTTTATGGTACCTTTTCAAAAGCAATTTGAACAGTCTGAGACACTTTCTAAATGGTTATTCCAGGTCTAAAAATAAAAACCTCAAAGGCTACTTGTGATTAACAACAACAACAACAACAACAAAAAAGCAGCGCATGCGACAGAGCTCAGGTGGACAGGTTTTTTATTGGGACAAAGTGAATGGGAAAGGGGGAAGGGGAGAGGGGAGACCAGCCTTTGGGGAAAGGAGCAGTAGAAAAGAAGAGAGAGAAAGACAGAGGCAGAGAGACAGGCAGAAAGAGAGAGAAAGGAAGAGATAGGAGGTGGGAAAGGCCCACCTTTTAACAGGGAACTTAGTGAACAGTACACAGGTGTTCCTAGTGACTACAGCTGAGGGCGTATCCTGTCAGGACCCCAAGGACAGGCCAGTACAGACGTCTGAATACTAACACTACTTATTCTAGATTACTGCATAATGTGGATTTACTATGCCTTTAAAAATAAGATTGCTCAAAATGACCTTACGATAGTATGTTGAATACATATGGTGGGAATGATGGTAAGGCATGAGGAGATAAGCTGGTCACTGCAGGTGGCCCATCCATAAGGTGTACAGGTGCTTCTCATTTTTAGTCAAATTTTCATGCAGAACTTTGAGGCAGCGGCGTTTATCAAGGTTGAAAAAAAGAAAAGAAATATAACAAGAAACCACCAGAGCAGAATTCAGAACCCATTCTTGTAACTGGACATTTCCGTACCACAACTAGTTGCCAAATAACCACTCAGAGTCTTAACATTAATTATAAATGTTTGGCGAATGGCGCAGGCTTACTATTAGCTAGCTCTTACATTTAAATTAACCCATTTGTATTAATCTTTGTATTGCCACGTGGCTGCGGTGTTACTTCATTTTCTACATCTTACTTTTTCGGTGCCACTAATCTCATAATCCTTTGATTTTATATTGACTCTTTAACAGCTGTTCTTAAGCTATAACTTTTGTAATACTGATATATATAAATGTAAATATATATATATTAAATTTTGTCGTGATATTAAAGGTTATATAGAGTACTAACTAATTCTAGGAAAAAGTTTCACCTATCTTCCTGTACATGATTTCAGGTTTGAGTATCAGTTTTCTGCAGTGAACCATAGGCACATCTAACAGTGACCTTTGAAGTCTCCAAAAGGAGGATGTGGCCCCACAACGATGATTCCTTCAGAACTATAATAACACCACTAAGCTGAAAAATACTGCCTAAAGATCAGCTTTGAACTACAAACTGGTCAGATCAATTTCGATGTGGCTGGCTAAAATGATCCAGTTTAAGAGACTACGCTAGCCAGGATTTGAGTCAAGCCCTGCACTTTCCCATTATGCAGAGACTGATAACAAATGGAACAACTACCTCTCCCAGAACTTGACAATTAACCCAAATTTTTCTTTTCAAGATCCTCTAAAGAATTTGTTGAGAATAAAAATTTTTGTTTTGCTTTTATAGGATATAGTTCTCCCTAGGTCAGGAACCAGCATAAGTGCTCTGAGCATACCAAGATGACTTACAGAATGTTCTTATCCACAAAGAGCCAAGAAGATATTAATTTGTCACAAATAAGTAAACTCAATGAGATAAGCACTCAAATGGAAGCATAAAAAAGAATGTAGTTGTTTTTCACTCTTTCACCCTGTGGGGCTCTTTGCTCTTTGGTGGGTCCACCACACAGCACCCAAATAAATCACATGTGGTGGCTTATGAATAATGAATGACTGCACTTATCTTGGCTTGTTTCTTGTCAGTTTTTTTTTAAATTATCCCATCTACTTTTTGCCTCTGTGATTTTTCCTTTTCTTCTATATATTTTACTTCCACTCTTATTCCATGGCTGCCTGAGTAGTTGGATAACTGGCCCCTGATGTCTTCCTCTCCTTGTTCTATCTTGCTCCCCCCTCTCTTTTTCTCCTTCTAATTATTCTCTATGCATGCCTATCCTTTCTTCTGTCTTCATATTGGCCATTCAGCTCTTTATTAGACCAGGAAGTGTTTTAGACAGGCAAAGTAATATAGCTTCACCGAGTTAAACAAATGCAATAAAAAAAGAATGCAACATATCTTTGCATAATTAAACAAATATTCTACAGCATAAACAAATCCTAAATAATATTCTACAACATTTTTCCATTTTTGTTTAAATAAAAATAAAAGGTTTTAACTTTATCTTAATAAAACTATGTAAAATAAAAAGTTATCAAGAATTACATTTACACTATTCAGTCTATTGGTATTTAGCAAATTCAGGGGGGAACTCCACCATCTATCCCATCTTAGTGATCTAATTTACTTTCTTTCCTAATTAAAGAAAATTTCAACTCTATCTAGTCTTCAACTCCATCCAATGCCCCAGAAGGAACTAATGTTACCTACATAAACAGGAAGTGCATTGCATGCAACTTCCAAGACTCTAGAAATGACAGAGACATCTGGCAGCATGGAAAGTCACCCAAAGTTCTTCTGCAACATTGGGGCATCCAAATTCAGCCTTCAGACTGGCAGACTTTTCAGTGAAGCAGGAAAGTTGAAAGATGTTGTAGGAAGGCTGTTTGTTTATTTCCCGGCCACGCAGACTGTGTGAAATAACCACACAGAAACTGTATTTATTAAATCACTGCTTGGCCCATTAGCTCTAGATTCTTATTGTCTAACTTTTACATCTTAATTTAACCCATTTCTATTTATCTGTGTATCACCATGTGGCTGTGGCTTACCAGCAAGGTTAGTGTCTGTCCAGGTGAGTCTACATGGGGTCTCCTGACTCCACCTTCTTTATCCCAGCATTCAGTATAATTTTTTCCCACCTAGTTCTATTCTGCCCTATCAACAGGTCAAGGCAGTTTTTTAAAATTCGTTAACCAACAAAAGCAATGGATATACAGAAGGACTTCCTACATCAAAAAGATTGTTCTACCTTATCTTGGCAAATTAAACAGTCACTTTCCTCTGTGATTTACAGAATGTCTGGCAGACCCATCCATAAATAAGGAACTCTGAAGGACTGTCCCACCTTGTTTTTACATTTTTAGCAATCAGTTTCTTGTGGATCCTGCATGTCCAGTTTGTAAAACATACTGTGAAACAGTCAAGGCAGAAGCAGTTTCTTGTCCAAATGGCTAACCTTGCCATAATGAAAGCAGACTCCTACAGAGTTTCTTCAATGCTCACCATTTTCTCTGAAGCAAATTGTTACTGCCAAGAACAAGTGTATCTCATTGTCATGAAAAACTCTAAGTTAACAAAACATTTTAAATGCAGAATTCTATAGGTCTTTGAAGTGTTTCAACATTTATCTTTCTAAAATAGATCTCTGTATGATCTAGAAAACATGACTAACATATCTGCAAATTTGATTGTTGTAGATGACTAACTACTAGCTATGTTTCTTGATTATCCTAAATAGATTGTGATAATAGCTTTCATAAACTAGAATTTACCTTACATTTTTAAATGAACTGCATGGGTATAATAACTTAAACAAGAATAGAAACATATATATAATATGTGGTAACAAAATAACTTTAAATTTGTATCAATATACAAAACTCTTGGAGTAGATACATAGATACAGTGTGTTGTAACAAAAATGACCTTAATTTGTATCAATATACAAAAGCCCATACAATACAAAATACTTGAGATTAATAGTTGTCTTTTTATTCTATATTTCTATGTAAATTATAACATTTATGTATTATATATATATATATATATATATATATATAATTATTACAAACATCCATAATCCACCAAATAACCAAAGACCACCTACACCATCTCTTGGGAATGAGGGTGTCATGCTCTCCAGACTGCTTCCTGTGGCCTGTAGGTGAAGGCATCAGAGAGACAATTGAGATAATGGCCACGTCCTTGGAAGACCAGCAGTACCTTTTTCTGATATAGGTCACTTGTCAAGATTCAGGAGGTCTTCACTGATCAAATTATATTAACCTGGAAGGAATCCACAGCCTCTCATTTCCTGTGGAAACAAAAGCAAAACCTCTTCTCCAAAACATTTTTTATTCCATTTGACATACATTTGGCTTCATTTTTAAAGTTAAGGTAGCCCTAAGGTATCTAGGTTGGTTCAATTTGCATTCCAATTCACAATCCCATGTTTCTCAGCAGCTGGCTCTTGTCCATTAACAATCAAAAAATTTAAAAGCAACACAGTTCTGTACAAGAACCAGACTCCTTGTGTGACTTTTTTTTTATTCTTACTGTCTC